AGACACCGCATTCCCGGGACGCCGAGTTCTGGGGTCCTGGAGTGGCTGATGGTGCTGACACACGGGACACCCTCACGGGGCTCCCTGTCGCTGGCCCGGTGTCTGGTGTGCGGTCAGTTCTTCACATGTGTTGTCCAGTTCATCCTGCCAGCAGCCCTGCGATGAGCAGTTTTCGCCTCATCCTCTAGACAGGGTCGCCAAGGGCCCCTGCTAGGCTGAGTCGCGTGCCACGGTGGGTTGGGGACAGCTGGGACTCTATCACAGCCCTCGGCTTCCAGAGCCCATGCTCTGAAGCACCATACTGTGGAGTCTAGGTTATTGTAGTTAATGTCTTGGGCCTCTGAGGTTCTGGGTGATTCTAAGAAGGATTTGGAGATGCCTGGATTCTAATATTCTCAGAATGAATTTGTTGCTTGTTTTTCTAGCCGTGACATTAGCTGATGTGTGGCTGTTGACGAAGGGACAAACGAGTTGCCTGCCTGTGTGTGCCTGTGAAGACACATACATACACACAGAGCTGAGGGTGACCGGGCCAGGCCTCAGGTCTGTCCCCACTGGGACTCCGAGCTGTGCAGACAGAGGCCTCCCTGTACCGTGCTCTGGGCCTTTGGAGTGCCAGCTGGAAGACCCTTGGAGGCAGGTTTCCTCACAGACTCTGGACCACTTGGGGGGTTGTTGCCGTACGGGGGTCTTGGCAAAACTGGTGGCTATCACTGCACTGCCTGGGGACTCAGCTGGGAGGGAAGACCGGGTGCCAGGGCGCCTGTCTCTGCCCCAGAGTGGTGCCTGTAATGGTTCAGGGCTCGGGCTCAGAAGGGGCAGACCTACATGGGGACCCAGTCTCTTTGGGACCGTGCATGGGTGACTTTGGGCACTGTGGCACTTCCCTGAGCCACAGCCTCCTTCCCCGTAAAGTAGGAATAAGCATGGTCTGTGCACTGGAGCCTGTGGCAGGAATGGACACAGACAATGCAGAGAAAGCCCTTTGCCTGGCACAGTCAGATGTTGAGCTTCCATGATGCTGTGGTGCTGGTGGTGCTGGTGGTGATAGTGGTGATGGTGATGATGGTGGTGATGTTGGTGATGTTGGTGATGGTGGTGATGTTGGTGATGGTGGTGATGGAGGTGATGTTGGTGATGGTGGTGATAGTGATGGAGGTGATGGTGGTGGTGGTGATAGAAGTGATGTAATGGTGATGATGATGATGGTGATAGAGGTGATGTAATGGTGATGGTGGTGATGATGGTGATGATGGTGATGATGGTAATGATGTTGGTGATGGAGGTGATGATGATGGTGATGGAGGTGATGTAATGGTGATGGTGGTAGAACTGGTAATATGGCAGAGAGAGGGCTTGGTGGCCCTTGGGGATGGCTGAGCTGGCTGCACGAACACTTAGATATCCACCTCCATGGGTCCTGGGGAGCCTTCACATCCACATCATGTACTCACGAGGGCCCATGAGGTAGGCAGGAGGAGAGTGAGCTTTACAGAGAGCAAAGCTGAGACTCCGGGAGGCTGGTGGAGTCAGGGGTGGGCGTGTGTTCCAGGCCCAGTGGGGACCTGCTCTGCCCCACTCGCTGAGTGTGGAGGCTGGTCCGGTCACCACACCACTGCCTGGTGGGCTTTCCCTGGGAGCCTGCGGGGATGTGGGGGCAGCTCTGACTCTGGGGACAATGACCCTGCCAATTTGAACCCACCAGTGCCGCCACTTAACCCAAGTCCTCTTGAGTCTGTGAGGCTCCATCTGCAGACAGTTTGGAGCTCAGGTTGGCCCAGCTGCCAGCCCTGCAAAAGCTTCCAGCCATAGGCACATGGGCGGCTGGGGACAGGAGCTGGGCTATGGACACAGGACAAAGGGATTGGGAGTGAGGGAGGAGATCAAAGTCTTGAGGTCTTTGTGGTCACTGGGAACAGGTCTGAGGGTGGAGGCTGGGTCATCACTGGGGAAGAGGTCAGAGGGTAGAGGCTGGCTGGTCACTGGGGAGTAGGCTGGGGATGGTGTCCTTGGTAGCTGTGGTCACTAGTGACCCCACAGTGAGGGGGGAGAGGTGAGAGGACAGAGGACAACAGTGCAGTGTGGCAGCTTTAACCAGGGGGTGAGCAGAGGGGGTGATCACCTGTGGTCCCAGAGGCTACGGCGGCTCTTCCCATCTGTGTGGGTGCGGGAAGGGCTTTGGCGGTGCTGGGTGTGGTGGCTTTGGGCCCATATGAGGCCTGGCTCCTCTGCCTCTAAACCTGATCTCAAGTTCATCCCCTTCCTCCCACCCCCACCAACATCCCAGGCCAGGCCAGCGCGTCCTTCCAGCCTCCTCTGGCCCTCCAGGCTCCACCCCTGGGCCTCTAGCCACCCTCCCTCAGCCCTCAGAGTGGTGGCTGAAAGGCACCGACCTACCTGAGCTTCCCACTCCTTACATAAACGCCCTTCCATGGCTTCCTGTTGCACTTGGACTAAAACCCAAGCTTCTTCTGTGGCCTGGCAACGGGCCCCGCCAGACTCTGCACTCTCATCCAGGCCCGGCCACGCTGGCCTCATTTCCGCTCCTTCAAGGCCTGAGGCTTATTCCAGCTTCCCGGCCGTCGCAAGTGCGATCCCTTCCAGGTGGAACACCCTTTCCACAGGTCCCCTGGGATATGCCTTCCGATTCTTGTCGTTCTTACCTTAAAGGTCTCTCTTCAGAGAAGGGCAGGGTGGTTTCTCCGCACTCCCACCTTTCTCCCTTGTTGGCTTATTTTCCAGCACTTAAAAAAAAAAGATTTTATTCATTTATTTTTAGAGAGAGGGGAAGGGAAGCAGAAAGAGAGGGAGAGAAATATCAACGTACAGTTGCCTCTCCCATGGCCCCAGCTGGGGACATGGCCTGCAATCCAGGCATGTGCTCTTACAGGGAATTGAACCGGCAACCTTTCGGTTCACAGTCCGGCACTTTATCCACTGAGTCACACCAGCCAGGGCTACTTTTCAGCACTTTTTATTACTTTCTTCAACAAATATTTACTGAGCACTTAGTGTGCTCCAGGCAATGGGGGTACAGCAGCGAACAGAACAGACCCCCGTCCCTGCTCTCTTCCGGCCCTCTTTTGGGTGAGGAGACAGACGCTAAATCATAAACATGTAAACACATAAATTACACAGCATGTTTGGTAGTGATAAGAGCTGTGGAAACCCAGGGAGCGAGAGGAATTCATTGACTCGTGTCTTTTTCCCTTGCTGGAGTGTCAGCACTGTGATGAGGGCTGGTGCCAAGTCTGGCTCGCTCGGCAGCATAGCCCCACACCGGCACAGTGTCTGCACATAGTAGGTGCTCAAGAAATATTGTCGGACCAGTGGATGAATCTTCAGAGCCTGGGAGAACAGGGTACGGGCGATGAAGGAGAGAGAGCGCCCCAGCGCCAGACCCGGGGGAGGCAGCCGGTGTCTCTCTAGGACCCGAGCGGGGGCCCGGAGGGCTCTGAGGCTGTCACAGTGGTGGGCAGACCCAGAGCCACCCCAGGGAGGACGTTTTTCAGCCCAGGGCTTGACACGTGGCGGGCCGAGGTGCCTGGAAGCTTATGTAAGGCCTGTGGCTGTGTTTCTGGAACAAGCACAAAGCCCTGGGCTTGAGAGGAGACTCTGCCTCCCTGACCAACTGGGAGAAGTGGCAGGAGGTGCCAACTCCTGCCTGTTGCCCCCGGGAGCCAGGGAAACGTCCAAATGCATCATCAGCTCCGGGCAGCTCGACAGACAGCTCAGCAGCAGCAGGTGGCAGCCCGGGGGAGGGGGCGCCAGGGATTTGTGCTTCCACTCCAACTACCGCTGCCCTGCCTGGTGCTGTCAGGGTTCTAGGGTTCAGGAGAACCCCGTGGATAAGGATTCAGGGATTGGAGGTGTCTTGGAGGAGGTGGTGAGGGACAGGCCCTGAAAAGTGCTGTTCTTCCCGCCTTGACATTGTCCAGCAGTCGAGGGGGATAAGCAAGGCTACGGCCAGTCATCACTGAGTCTGGAAGGCCAGTGCTGGGATTCTGGCCTCTAAAGAGGCCTCACTGTTTAGATTGGACATGCCACTCCTTTCTCTGGGCCTCAGTTTCTCCATAACCCTGCAGGGGTTGTTGGGAACATCGGACGAGACCAGGATTGGACGTACCCCTGAGACTGAGCCGGGACCAGCTGCATGACTTGCAGGGCCCGGTGCAAAATGAAAATGTGGGGCCCCTGCATCAAAACGTACTGTTTCAGGTCGGTGATAGCAGAGCAGTAAAGCAAGCACAGCCCTTCTGAGAGAGGGGCCCGGGCGGCTGTGTGTCGTCGGACACCCTGGAGGCGGGCCCTGACGGAGCCCTGTCTCTGCCGTGGCCCAGCTCTTCTCTCTCTGTCTCTTCTGTCCCTTCCCTGGGCCTCCGTTTCTCCACCCGAAAAGCAAGGAGGTCGGTGGAGGCCCAAGGAGGAGGCCCCTGGGCTCTCAGCCTGGGTGGTGGGTCCCTGGGCTGCAGGCAGGTCTCAGCTCCGCCGCCCTCAGGGAAGCCTGCCCTGATTTCCTCTCTGTTGGCCCAGGCCCCCCGGCTTCCGGTCCCACAGCACCCCAATTTCTCCTCGTAACACGCGTCACCCTGGCAATGATGTCTCTCTGTACAGTGACTTGCCCTTCTTCCCTGTAAATTTTCTTGACTTTTGATGGTGCAATAAACATCCAAGTCTAGTCTTATTTAAACACACACACACACACACACACCCCTAATATCACAACTACACTCTAGGAAGGTTTTATTTTCCTCACTCTTTTTCTCCCCAAAACTGAGGCTTGGCGAGGCTGACCAGACTGGGCCGGCCAGGATCACCCGGCCTGGGAGTGGGTTTCAACTCTCGGGCTTCTGGGCCCGCGGTTCTTTCCTGACCCTCGAGGCTGGAGTGAGGGCCAGGGGCCTGCAGGCCTGAGGCTGGGCTGTCCCCTTCCGGGGGAAGCTGGCTGGGGAGCGTGTGCCAGGCCCGCCCCCGCCATGGGTCACCTCTCTCTTCCCCAGGCTCCCTGCTGAGCGCCGACATGGCTGAGAGCTCCTCTCCACCCTCCTCTTCGGCCGCGGCCCTGGACGCTGAGCCGGGGGTCACAGAGCAGCCGGGCCCCCGGAGCGCCCCGCCCTCCCCCCCAGGCCTGGAGGAGCCCCCGGATGGAGCCGACCCAGACGTGCCTCACCCGGACCTGGCGCCTGTTGCCTTCTTCTGTCTTCGCCAGACCACCAGCCCCCGGAACTGGTGCATCAAGATGGTGTGCAACCCATATCCTTGCGTGGCCGTGGCTGCCTGGGGCCCTGCCCGGGGCCGCGAGCTTCCCTGATGGTGCTCGGCCTCCCACACCTGCCTCTGCTTAGGAGGCTGGCCTTGCTGGTGGGGAGCGGCCTGTTGGGGGGGAGCGTGCTCAGTGGCAGGTCTGGGGGCGTGCGAGGGCCTGGAGGTCGGACGGAGGGAGACCCAGTCATCTGCTGATGTGAACACTGTGGAGGTTGCTGTCCGCAGAGGCCAGTCCAGCGGTTGGCTGGCTGGGAAGGTGCTCAGGGGTGAACCCCAGTGCTGTGCTGGAACCGAGGACCAGACTTATCCCCATGGCCCAGTGCCCAGTGATCGAGCCATGGGATGGATGGTGTCCACAGGGGCAATGGGAGCTGAGATGGGGACCCTGGGCCCAGGCGAGGCCGCTGATCCTACCATGCAGGGTGAGGTTCCCCCACCCCATTCTCCCGGTCAGGCCTCTGTGGGGCGCCCCTGGCTGCTCCCTGGCAGCAGCAGCAAGCAGCCCCTCACACGTCCTCCTGCCTTCCCTGTTGCCTCTAGTCTGCTCCTGCCACCCTCTGCCTAAGATCCTCCCCCATCTCCCATTGCTCCGGACAGCGAAGTCCCCGCCTGGCCCTGCAGCCCCGCATGCCCCAGCCCTGGCTCGCTTCCCGCCCCTCTGTGTCCTTCCAGGGCCACCTCACTGCTTTCCCCGTTGTCCGAAATGCTCTTCCCTTCTCTCTTCACTGGGGTGAATTCTTGGTTGCATCCTCGAATCACGGCCCAAGAGTCTCCTCCTCGGGGCAGTCCTGGGAGACCCCCGCTCAGCTGCTCTGTCTGTTGTTGCCTCCAGTTGCGGGATTCTGAATCCCGCACCTCCTGCAGAGGTGCCGCCAGGTGACCAGGGTGCGGGCCGCCCTTGTCACGTTCACTGCTGGACCTTGGCACCCAGCACCGGAGCACACCAGGGGCTGCCTCGGTGTTCACTGGGCGCACTATGGCAACGCCGGAGCTGAGTCTGCGGTAGTGAATGGGTCAGGCGGAGAGGGCAGTGGGGACAGGGTACGGCAGCGGCGAGGCCTGGGGAGGGAGGGGCAGAGTGCAGAGATGAGGCTGGTGGGAGAGGGGACAGGCTCCAGGGCCAAGTGAGGAGCTGGCCCGTGTCCTGAGGACCGTGGACACCTGGCAGAGTTTAAGCAGGGGCATGACGTGGCAGGATCCGGGTTTGAGAAGGACCCCACGAGCTGCGCTGTGAGTGGGGGTCCCGGGAGTGAGCCTGTGGCTGGGGGCGGCTGAGGAGAAGGCTTTGGGACCCAGATGTGGTGGCCTTATGGTTTTTGGGGCCCACCAACAGGACAGAGTCCTTTCCAGTAGGCCTGAGCCCACCCCTGGAGGCCTGGGGTGACCCGACGCAGCCAGGGACAGTGAGGCCAGAGGCCCACGCTGAGCCCACGTCCGCTGGCCTCCCCACTGTGTTGGGCCTCGTGGTGGTGAGGGGCCCCAGACCCCCCTACATCTGGGAGACAACAGGGTTTGTATGTGAGTGGGTGGAGGGTGGAGCTGAAGTCCCCCTCTGGGTGGGGGCCAAAAACCTTGATGTTCATTCTGGGGGACAGCTCAGGAGGCCTCGGGCACCACATGAGGGTCCCTTAGTAACTTGGTTCACCTGACACCTGTCCTGAGACCCTGAAGGGTGGGGAAGCTGGCCTACCTGGGGAGCCCCTGGGGGTGGGGGTGCACGCATGACCCATGCCTGGGGGAGCAGCTTTAGTACGAAATGTTGGGACCACACGGACTCACATTGTATGAACTGGGGGGCAGCCAGGTCAGGGATGGGGGGCCTCCAGGGAGAGAAAGCTGGCTGGTGGGAGCGGGGAGGTTGTGCAACCATGTCATGGGGACCTGGCCTCAGTGGGCCGCAGGGGCAGCTCTGGCTCTGCCACTCAGGTGCTATGTGACTTTGGGAAAGTCACTCTACCTGTCTGAACCTCGCAAGGTCTGGATGGTCAGAGTCGTGGCCCAGATGGCCCTGGCCCGGGGTCTGACCCAGCTCGCCCCCTGGCAGGCCTGGCAGGGCTGGCCGGGCTGGAGCTGCCCAGAGCAGCCCAGGCGTCACAGGAAAGCCACTGGGCAGGGAGTAGGTCGGAGACTCATCTGCCAGGAAGTGGGCGTGTGACTTCAGACAGTCTCCTTTCTGAGTCTCGACGTCTCCACTCCAACTGAAAAGGAAGGGCTGGAAGAATCGCCTCCATTCGCCCCCCAGAGTCAGGGCACCAGCCTCACTCACCCTTGACCTTGGGCATTCTGGGCCCTGACCATTGAGCAGAGAGCATGGAGACCCTCTGAGGTGCCACATTTCTGGTCTGTGGGCAGAGCCCCTAGGTCCTCACCGCCCCTTTGGCTTCCACCCCGAGGGTATGTGGGAGCCTGGGGTTGGGGACAAGGTGGGGGGGGGGAAGGAGGGAGGGAAGGGATCGGATTCCAGGTGGAGCTGGGCTTGGTCCTCACCTGAGCCTGGGTCCTAGTGTGGGGAACTGCATGGGTTCGGGGGTGGGGCTGCATTCAGCTCCCTGTTGAGGAGGGACGTCCCAGCACTGGGACCCCCTTGGAGCACCGTCGGGCTCCCCAGGCCCCACAGCCAGGGGCTGCTGGGGCTGGAGCGAGGGGCGGAGGTCTCGGCTTGAAGTGGCCGCCTGGCTGCTGGGCTGCCTTCTGGACCGGAGACCCGGTGACTCCGGTGTGGAGCGGCCCTGCAGTGTGGAGTTCGGACATTCTCTGACTCCGGGCTTCTGTGATCGAGTCTAGGGGTCCAAAGTTCAGACTTCATGCTCAGTGACACTGAAACTCTGAGTTTCCGTGACTCAGAGACTGTGGAGTGCTATGTCCGGGACGTGTCTGACCGCAGTGGTATGTGTTTGGGGGTGGGAGGGCCCTTGCACCTGGGCCCGTGAGTGCAATCCGACAGTGCGAAGATTTCAGGGCCCAAGTGGGGTCGTGGGGGAGAGGCCAGGGTGGGTTTCCACACATGCAGGCCCAGGAGGCCTCGGTGCCCAAAGGGGCTCCCACAGGGGATCCCACGGCAGAGACTTGATCGTGGGGTGCTCAGGCTGGGCTTTAGGGGGTGGGGGTATGTGGTTTTGGGTGTCTGAGCAGATGCCGAGGGCTCTAGGGCTCTTCTCTGAGGAGAAACGCCCCTCCCCGCCTCTTCCCTGAGAGGGAGCCCAGGCTCCGCAGCTGGGGCCCTGGTGGCATTTTGGGTGTGATTGTGTTTTGTGGTCCTGGCTGTCTTGTGTGTTACAGGACATTGGGTAACTTAGGTGGTGTTTTGTCATGTGACAACCACAAAAGACCCCTTCACCTTCCCAGACTCTGCAGAATTCTGCTCCTCTTCAAGAACCCAAAGCAGCGCTGGATAAGTGAGCATCAGGGTCGGGCTCGTGCCCGGGGCAGTGTGGGAGGCCTGCCCTGGACAGGCTGTCGTGAGCATGGGCGTCTCTGGTGCCCAGGGGCCTGGTTCAGAGCCCACTGCCCCTTGAAGCTTGGTGCTCCCTGACTCAACGCCTCATCTAGCCCAGAGCTGGGCCCTGAGTCACCACCTGACTCACCGGAGACCCAGAGGCTGCTGGGACCCTCCCTGAGCAGGCGAGCAGGGCAGGTCCACTCACCCCCACACCAGCAGTACTTTCTGCCTGGCCTGGGCCCTGAGCATGCACCGTCAGCTGGGGTTTCAGCTGGGAGGGCCCTGGCCGCTGTCCGACTCCTGGGGAGTTGGTGCATGGCGTGTGGGCCCGACTTAGACCTGGACACCGGTGCTGCCTCCTGTTCGCTGTGTGGCCGTGGGCCAGGCTCCTAACCTGCCCGGGCCCCAGTTCCCCCACTTGTCAGACAGGGCTGTTTTCCCCAATGCACAGGATAGCAGCGAAGCCCAGGGCCGTTGGGTAAGGAACATGTGAACATGCAGCCGTGCAGACGAGAAAAGCCGCCACACCTGTGGTTATCCTTTTCATCTGTGCCCCAAAGGTGAACAGGGCCCTGAGCAAACTCTCTGCCTGTGGAGAGTCAGTAAAACCTGGGGCATCAAGTCTTCACAAAGAACTGGGGGCGTTCAGAGGACGTGGCTTCTGGGAAAAGCAGAGCCAGTCCCCGTTATTGAGGTGAAGTCGTGCCAGTTCGGCTGCTCGCAGCCGTGCCCACTCCTGCACAGACATCGCTGGTCCAGCCCGGTGTCCTCCAGCAGGGCGGCCGGAGCAGGACTCATCAGGGGATGCCTGTTTGCCCCCAGATTAGCCGTCCAGAGCCTTTCGGAGTATGACTGGCTGCCGTGGGAGAAAGGCCAGTGGTGCGAGTGCTCACTCCGGTCTGCTCCTTGAGTCCAGTGTCCTCGTCTCTGGAACGGGACAGTTTAAGAGGTTGGAGGCGACCCCTGTGAAGCGCCCAGCGGTGTGTCCAGTGCAGAGAAGGGCTCAGGGATGACAGCCAGGAGAGCTGGCTCTCCCTGTGCCAGCTTCTCTGCCTTGTCTTCACCTCTCATCCTTACAGCCACCCCGAGGCAAGTGCCCCCGTAGCCCCGTTTACATGTGAGGGAAGGGGGACTCAGAGAGGTTGAGTAACTTCTTCCCAGGGTTGCAAAGCCGGATGTGGTAGAGCTGGAGGGAAGACATCCGTTTCTCTGCAACCCTGGCTTCCACTCTCATCCAGGATGCTGCTGCCCTCAGCAGAGCCCAGGTGCTCCACCCGCCACGGGGCAGGAAGGTTTGCCTCAAAGTTCCAGGTGGCCAAGTGGGGGGCTTCCTGGATTCCAGCATCTACGTCCAGCAGCCACCTCACTGTGGCCTGCCCACAGTGCCCTCCTTGAGGAGGCCGCAGCCACCTCTCTCCCAGCATGCTTGGATGCTCGCCATCTCCTTCTCCAGCCCGGGCTGAACCAGCGCTTCTGCGGCCCGTGAACCATCCATGCTCGGTGGGAAGCCAGTGGGCTGTGAAGGTTGCGTCTCTGCTGGGTAGGGCCA